CACCTTCTGACTTCTATTTTGAAGTAAAAACACTTTTAAAATATATAGGTTGGTTTAATCCAGCTGCTTCTGAAATCTAATGTCTCTCAGCAGCTCTCATTCATCAGCAATCAAAAAATTTAAGGTCAATACAACACCATAGGATCCAGACTTCCTGTGTGTTTTCCCTCTCAACATGGGCTCATTTTTTTTATTTTGCTTCTCTTTAAGGACTTTATTATTCTTAAACTATTTTTTTCTATGACTGTCGATATCCTTTCTCTTTTTTTCCTAAGCCTATGTTCATTTTTTAACATACTGTAGCCTGCTTAGAGGTTTCTTTTTTGTCTGGATCTGTCTCTAGTGAGCACTGCATTGTTCTGTGATCACAGGAGACAAATCTTAGACTGCTGTGTCAGGCAGTGGCATGGCTCAGCTCAGCTATGTAGCACTGGCCGATTTCCCCAGGCGCTGCATCTCCATATGCTGCAAGCATCGATCCACCTGAGGAACTGCAGGACTAGGAATCCACATCTGGCTCCTTGTCCAGAACTTTTCTTTACCTTCTCAGGCCCTATGTTTGGATATTAGATGCCATTTGTAGGTAGAATATTCTGTCCCACTAGCCAGCTCCAAAATTACAATACAGAGACTTATTATTAATTATAAATGCTCAGCCAGTAGCTTGTGCTTGTTACTGCCTAGCTCTTATAATGTAACCCATATTTTTTATCTAACTACCACATGGTTTAGTACCTTTTTTCCAAACATGGCATGTGCATCTTGCTTCTCTCCACATTTCCTGGTTACTTTGCCCACCTTTCATCAAGCTCTCTCCCTGTCTGCATGTCCAGCCTAACCTCTTCCTGCCTAGCTATTGGCCATTTAATTCTTTATTAAACTAATGAGAGCAACACATATTCACGGTATAAAAAAAGATTGTTCCATAACAGTTGCTAGTAGTTATTTCATCATACAGTGGGAAGACTCTATTCCAGTTTCTATTATTTTAGTAGTTATAAAAGAAACCAAATTTCATGATATCCAGAATCTTTTAAGACATGAACTTGTAAATCTGTGAGTGTAACTACCTACACTAAAACAAAATTAAGCTATTTATTACAATTTTTCTAAAAGACAGGACATACTAAAATATAGTTTTCAAATCTGACAATTAAAAAATTCTCAAGGTCACTTTTAATGCTCTGTAATGACAAATAAACAGTTTAATCTATTTTCAATTAAAATAATGTCAAATTGCATAGAAAATTACTTTTTAAAAAATTGTCTGGTGGTCAGACAGTGGTGGTGCACACCTTTAATTCCAGCATTCAGGAGACAGAGGAAGGTGGGTTTTTGTTATTTCAAGGCCAGTATGGTCTCCAGAGTGAGTTCCAGGACAGTCAGAACTGTTCCACAGACAAACCCTGTCTCCAAAAACAACATTAATTGCCTGGTTCTATTCAGTCCTGTTACACAATTACATTTAACCTTTGTTTCCAAAGTATTTCTATGTGCATGCAAGTGCTAGTGTAATCTTATGCAAATGTAATAATGGCATATGAACAGTTGTATAAATTTGTTATTTAATAATATAACCTGACCATCTTTCCTTGTCATTCTGTGACTTTACCCCCTGTACATAAATCTACATGGACCTTAATGGCTATAAAATGTGTGTATTCAACGATATACTGAAAACAGGTATCTGAGAAAAACATTAATTTAACTTTAAGCATAATTTATTTATTTTGTATGTGGGGTATGTGGGCATGAGTTGTACATGCTGTGAGCATGCTCATGCAGAGGTCAGAGAACAATGAACAGAGTGACAGTGTTCTTCCACAATGTGGGTACCAGAAATTGAACTCAAGCCATCAGGCTTGCAGGTCAGTGAGTACCTTTGCCCAGTGAGCCATTGTGTTGTCCCAAAAAAGAAAACTTTTCTAGAAAAAATTAATTCTGCCCTTTTACTACAAAACAAAATCAATAATCAGACAAGAAATCTATGAAATCTCTGCCCCTCTCATAATTCATAGCATTGGAAATGTCTCTATTTTTATGTTTTCAATAGTCCAAAGAGATTAAATTAACCTTGTTTTAAAAATGATTAAAATGCAAACCCAATTATCCCAAGGCTTCTCCAGGTTGGAGAACAGAGTTGGGTAGGGAGGGTCAAGATGGGCCAGTCTCTGCAAATCTCTAGAATTCCACAGAAATAAGTGAGAGTGATCAAAATGGGGTCCCTCAGGCACTTTTCTTCCTTTATGACTCCCAAAGCTATTGCAATAATTCTAATAGCCCAAGATAAAAGGGATATACACCTATCTGAAGACAATGTACTCTGCACTCTAAGGTGGGAGGGCAGAATGGATGAATTTACACAGTTTGTGCTGATAGTCCTAGGCGTTCTGACAAGAAACCATGATGGGTCTCAGCTTTGGCTAATCAGCTTGAGGAAAGTAAGTAATTCTTTCTAAAAACTACAATTTCATGTGACGATGGTGGTAGGTATAATCCCAGCACTCATGAGGCTGAGGCAGAAGGATGATACATTCAAGACCAGCCTGAGCCTTGAATGAGACCATTTCAAAATAAAAAATAAAATAAAATACAATTTTGTTCCTAAGTTTGCCCTTGAAAATGGGGCCGACGGAAAAGGGAGCTGTCTGTGACCCTACCATTTATGGAGACTGTCCAACTCTCCCTCTTACTTGCCATTTGGACATCCTCACATTTGACACTTTATCAGCCATCTGATGCCATTTGGAAATTGACTTTCAGGAGCACCAGGACCTGCTGTGAGAATTTCACCTGTCTCTTTTTGTACTGTCTCTGGCAGTATAGACGCCACACCACTGACTGCTCTTGTCTTCCGGATAGATCTCTGCAATATCCTTTCATCTGCTCTCTTAGCAGTAGCTTCCATCATACACCTGCTTGAATAAGTAGCATCTTAAAAATCCAAGCGGACCAGAAATCCATCACACCAAGTGGATTCTTATTACCTTCCCGGATAGAGTACCAATTCAGCACAGGTGACAAGAATCTAGACCCTTGGTTATCTGTGACACCAAACCATATGAAGATCCTCAAACACACAATGGTATGAAAGAATGATGGCACCCCAAGAGATGTCCACACAGGACGCAATCCTTAGAACCTACGCTGTGCCTCACTGCATGACGAAGGGAGATGAGGGTAGCAGAGAGCACTGAGGATGCTGGATTGTCCAGGTGCCAGGTATAACCATAGGATCTTTGTAAGTGGGAGGCAGTGCATCATGATCAGAGAAGGAGACATGATGATAGAAACATAGGTCAGAAACAAGAGTGATACAACACATTGAGTCTGGAAGATGGAGGGCTAAGACCAATGAAGGTAACCTAGAAGCTGCAAATGGGGAAGGAAACAGATTCTCTCTCCCCTAGAGATTCCAAATTCTTGCTGGTAACCTGATATGGTTCACTGAAATCCATTTTGGAGGTCTGGCCTGCTGTGGAGTGATATGGTAATAGTTTGTGTTATTTAACGCACTAGCTCTTTAGAAATTGTTTTCTCCACACCAGGAATCTGAGAATTCTTGCACGCCCCCATTACCTTAGCACACACACTATCACGGGCTTTTGGAATGCTCTTCCCAAAGCTATCTCTCTGCCCTGTACTTCTAAGCCTTGTCTCAAGCATGCTACTGGGGACTTTTCCAGTTCAGACAGATGATTGTCCCCTCCCGTCCTATGGTGGCACCTTGTGAATATCCCCATTGCTTCTTTTATTGTTGCATTTACTCCAATGTGCATTGAACATCTGCCATATACTAGATTAAGGAAGAAAACTTGTACCCAGGTCTCTGTAAAGACTCCTTCCTTCACCACTTCATTTAAGCCAGCCCTGTCCACCCCAATCACTCTGTTGAGTTTCTATTTGACTGGTCATCTGTCAGTCACTTTGGGAACCCCCCCCATCACTTTCTGGAGCATCATATGCTATGAGTGCTTTGACTGTCTATGACTGTGCACCATGTGTGTATGTTTGGTGCCTGTGGAGGCCAGAAGAGGGTATCAGATAACCTAGAACTGGAATTACAGATGCTTGTAAGCCACCACGTGGGTGCTGGGTCCTCTGGAAGAAGAGCTAGTGTTCATAACCACTGAAACATTTCCCCGGCCCCTTTCTGGAGTATAAAGGCCCTACTAAATTGCAATAATGATGTGACAGCCAGCATGAGATTTCTAGTTAATTTTACTTTTAGTTTTACGTACTCAAATAATTTCATATAGATTTGATGTGAGCTGCTAAAGAAACTATTTCAGACACCTCCTTTAACCAAATGATTAAAACCCTGTCCTTTCCTTTTTCTTGTGATTAGCTGTCACTAATGCATCGCTTTTTCTCTTGATTACAAGCTTGTTCATTAAAAGAAAACCGGTCATGCCAAGGCCACAAGCAAGGTTATGAAGTTCAATAATTAAATGGAATTTTGGTGTGCTTTTCCCTACTACTGCTGAGAAAATTTTACCATCTAAAGTTTGAAACTGGCAGAGACAGTAATGGCTGATATCCACTCTCCACTTTGATCTTCCTTCCTATTAGATCCTGGGTTTGTTCAAGGCTAGAATATTGTTCTTTTGAGGCTTTATGTAACCATGCGTAGAGTTCCAGACAATGGGATTTAAGCAATGTGATGTCAGAAACCAGGGGCCAGATGTGCTTTCTCTTGCGGTCCCCCATCTCCACACACACATACTCTCTCTCTCTTTCTCTCTCTCTCTCTCTCTCTCTCTCTCTCTCTCTCTCTCTCTCTCTCTCTCTCTCTCTCTCTCTCTCTGTCTCTCTCTGTCTCTGTCTCTCTCTCTCTCTCTCTCTCTCTCTCTTTCTCTCTCTCTCTCCCCACTGCCTGAAATGCAAGTGTGAATCCAGACACAGAGAAACAACTAGAGATGGATGATATACACAAGAACCACAGAGAAGTAAGCCTAGAGGAAGCTGGGTCTTTGACACCAAGACCCTGCTATACTTACCCTGCACTGTTCCCTCTGGATATGGTATTATGGGAAAAATAAATCTCCAAGTTTCCGTGGTCAGGTTCTGTAATTTCCAAACACACAAAATTCTCAACTGGTGAAATTCTGGGATAATATGAAGCACCCTCCGCAGAAAAGAGCCTCCAGGGCCCATCCATTTAAAGCAGCATAGAAACTGTTAGAGAGAACTACACAACACTATCGATGGATCTATTAGAAACTATCACTGGCATTGCTCTTCACAAGTAGCACAAGAGATTGCCATCTAGCAAAATCCTCCATTTAAAAACTCCACTAGAGTAGAACGTTCAGTTTCAACATAGTTGGAGGAAAGTGCGTAAAAGGGTGTGTGGGTGGTTCTGGAAGAAGAAAGAAAAAAAATACTCCACAACTTAATTAAACTGCTAAAAAGCAATACAAAAAAAGATGCAAAGCAGAAGAATGTGTCTGTGGGTTTGTAATGTTCTAGAATGAATAGTTTTTCCACAAAGGATCAATTATACAGGAAGCAATTTTCTTGTAAATGTTATATGAAAGTTTTTTAATTTCAATAAAAAAATGGCAATCTATTAGCAACAAAGACTATGAAACTGCTCAGTGACTGTGCCGTGATATGGTAGATACTAATTCATCATGAATGAATGAAATAGTTATAATAGGTAAGAAATGTTTATTCACTGGGTGTTACTGCCGGTTGGGATTTGAAAGGATTTTTATGCTAATAAGTAAAAAAGAAAAGAAATGTTAACACCATTAAAGGTGTTAAGATGATATTTAGGGGGAAAGAGAGAGAGAGGTGGCAGAGAAGCAAAGAAGGAACAAAAAGAAAATCACTTACTTCCTGTTTCCCTTTTCCAGGCACCTCAAGTTTGGGTCACTAAGAAAGGGGGGGGGAGTGTGTGTGTTAGTGAGTCAGTTTCCTGTCTCCTCCTTCTCTAACAGCAAATTTGCCACAGGGAGGAGGTAGAAAGGGGTATTTCTGAAGCTGTTGATAGTCTACTGAGCTAACCATCCTCAGTAGGACACGTGCCATGCACCCCAGTCGGATCCTTACTTACGGACTGCTGTGTGGAAGTGTATCACTGTACCTCGGTGAGATTTGAGCTAGGAGGTACTAAGAGCTAAGCGGTACTAAGGTAATTTGGGGAGGCCTGGCTCCACCCCTGTCCAAGGTAGCTTCAACCTACCCTTGAGGGAAGTGGCAATGCTTCAACAATCTCCCACTTCACAACCTCCTGGGAAAGAATCATACTACATCATCCAATCGATGATTTTTAAAATTGTTTTGTGGGGAAAAAAATCTAAGTTCTCATTAAAGCTGGGGAGAGGAAAGGAATAAGTTTCTGTCTTCTAGATTTTGCCTGTGATGCAGGAATGGAGGCAAAAGGAACCAGTCATCATGTAGCTCAGGGGCAGTGAGGAGTTAGGTACATAGAATTTTCTTCTTGAATTTAAATCTACCATCAAGGGCTGTAGAAATTGCCCAGTGGGTAAGGGCATTTGTTGCTCTTGCAGAGGTCCTGGGTTCCCTACACCGCACACACATGTCAACTCACGGTGATCTGTAGCTCCAGTCAGGTGACCTGATGCACTTTTCGACCTCCAAGGGTACCAGACACTTAACTGGAGCAAAGACAATCATGCAGCCAAAACACTCATCCATATAAGATTAAAAATAAATCTAAAAGAAAAATGAATGTACCATCACAATACTTTGAATCAAGCTAGGAATGGTGGTACAAACCTTAATCCCAGCACTCAGGAGGCAAATACAGCTGGGTCTCTGAGTTCGAGACCAGGAGTATCTATATATTCCTGCCTTAAATAAATAAGTAATAAACTATAATGGTCAATAATATGAAAATCTAATGTAACTACCACTTGTTGTTAGCAATAAATGATAGATAAATGAAAATGATTAACTACAATATGCCCAATCAAAATAATAAAGATCAGTACAACAGTGTACACCTCTAAACTTGGGAGAGAGGGATAGGGAATCCAAGGTCAGGACTGTATACCTAGAGAGAGTGAGGTGTGTGGGGGAGGGGAATACTCATGCTTGCAAAGGGCCAGGGATGGGTCTCTGTTGTGTGTTTACCTACATGAATAAAATCCTGGATTCAGTCCCTGACACACATAAAATTAGATATGGTATGAATTATTCCAGCACTGGAAAGGCAGGAGAATCAGAAGTTCAAGATCTTCCTCAGATATGCAGTGAATTTGAGGCCAACCTGAGATACATAAGATGAGATCCACTCCCCTTTCTCACAAAAAAAAAGAGATTTCTTTACCAAATGCTAATCCAAAGTGAAAATGTAAATGTAAGAAGTTGGGCAATATTAAACTAAGAATGTCTGTAAGGAAATGAAAACGCAACTGGTAACCTATGCATTAGGGAAATGTATTTGCTGTCCAAGCATTTTCTTTATAAAAGTATGGGTCCAGAAGTATATTTTAAAACACATATAAATTAATAAGAAAAAAAGCTGACAAGCTATAAAAAATGGAGCAGAAAAGCTGAACAGACAGTCCACAACAAATAGACAACTTCACATACTAAAAGGCATTTGACTTCAGTCGTTAAGAAAATCCAATTTAAGTCACAACGTGAGAGCACCATCAGCATGCTATGGTAGCTAAAACTAAAAAGAAAATACTCAATGACAGAGGGAGGGAGGGAGGGAGGGAGGGACGGAGGGAGGGACGGAGGGAGGGAGGGAGGGAGGGAGGGAGGGAGGGAAGAAGAAAAGGAGGAAGAGGAGGAGGAGGAAGAAGTGAACACTTATATGGTTAGTAGGAGCATAAATTGGTGTATTTTCTTCAGCAAAATTATTGTTTGGCTGGTTTTGCCTTGCTATTCTAGCCTGTGTATATTCAATAGAAAAATGCACATGTCATCATCGGAACACACATGCAGGCATACTCCTAATAGTCCGTTAGAGATGACCTCGATGCTATGGTCTGAAAGCTGACATCAGCTCAAAAGGGATTATGTTAGTAGAAGGGACTTTATAGGAAATTATGAAGTGGCAAAGACTCCTCTCCATGAAAATTAGAGTCTCAAGAAGGAGACTAAAGGTTGTGATTTCCTTTACCATCATTATGGGCTACCTCTCAGAATGAAGAACCCATCTTCATCAGACATCAGATATGCTGACTCACCACCATAAGCAGCCAGTATGTGCTATTTGTTCATTATCTACAGGGGTAGAACAAGGTGAGGCAATCATAGATTCACTTGGGGATTCGAGGAAAAGTGAGTGGTAAAAAATCCACCTAAATCCAAGTAGTATTTGGAATGTCAATATTGAGTGTATGGTTTGGAGATTGTCCTGGAACTCACTCTGTAGACCAGACTGGCCTGGAACTCACAGAGATCTGCCTGCCTCTGCCTCCTGAGTGCTGGGATTAAAAGCATGCACTAGCACAGCCAGACATGGATCTGTCACTTCTCAACTGTCTCTGTTACTTACCAGAGATAGACAGAGAGAGGGGGGGGAGGGAGGGAGAGAGGGAGAGAGGAGAGGGAGAGAGAGAGAGGGAGAGAGGGAGAGAGAGAGAATGTACACATGCATCAAAAGAACAACCCTGTCACACAGTTCCCATTAAGTTATCACCTTGGCACCCTGCATGATAATCCTATTTTTAGGAATTTTTTGCAAGACAACTGTTAAAGAAAGATTTTAATGTGGAAAAATGGCTACCTAGGGTTGCCTTAGTGAAAAATCAGAACACCTGTAGTGACTTCCTGACTATTCTCTGTGTTCCCAGCACGCCTTCCAGTCCCCCTTTATCTGGTAACAACAAACCCTATCACCACCACAGCTACAGAAATAAACCTGTCACCAGCCTAGTCAACTCTATAGTTCATGTTGGCTCTAACATCGTGATTGACTTACTTTTAGGCATGTGAAGCAATAGAGCCAACCACAAGAATATTTTTGTGTAGATGTTTGTATTGTCTTTCCTCAATTTCTTTACTATGTAATGTATTAAGACAGTATCAGTGGTTATCATATTTAAGTTTGAGTTACTAACAAAATGTTCCTTCCAGGGAAATTGCTACCTATTCTAAATTTTATCATTCATTTGTGGTTGTATGAAAAATAGTTATATTATGTGGTATAACTATGACCTCATTAAATATATAATGTGTTTGTGATTGTACATAGGATAATTATATCATGTTAGGTGTAATTATGACTTGGATATTGTTTTCATTTAAAAATTAAGCATGACATAAGAGAAGATATGATTGTGTATCTAGTTGACAAGGGATGGGCTTGTGATGACTATTCTTTGTTTTCAACTTGACTACATCTCCGTATATCTATAAAGAATTTTCTCTTAATTAAATCATTTGGGAAGACCCACTTTTAATCCATATCTTTTGTGGGAAAATCCATCTTTAATCTGAACCACACCTTCTACTGGCAGCCTATACAAAAGACATGGAAGAAGGAAATTTTCTCGTTTGCCTGCTTGTTCTCACTAGCAAGTCCGTTCCTTCACTGGCATTAGAGCATACTTCTTTGGGATTCCAGTTTATACTAAAGATCAGGTGAGACATCCACTCTTGTGAACTGAACTACTACTGCATTCTTGAAACGTCCACTGGTAGACAGCTATTGTGGTTCTATCTGGACAACAGCCTGTAACCCATTCTAATAAATCCCATTTACATAAATACAAAGATTCATTCTATAAGTTCTAGAGAACCCCAATACATCCATGTGTATATTTACTATGTATGCATAATATATGTATACATGCTTTGTAAATGCCTGCAAAGCTACACATAAAAATGCCACAGGGGGGAAAAGTCAGTGTAAATACAATTTTTTGCTCTATATTTATCACATTTTTTAAAGAAGAAAAAGAAAGTTTCCTCTTAAAGTTTTATTTTGAACTAACTTCTATATTCTGAAGCTACCAATGACTTTATGGAAAGCTGCAAGCACTGTAGGAAGAAATCTGTTTTCTGAGTGAGGCTTCGATTTCATGAAAGTTGCTGCCCTCATTACCCACCACTCCTACATTCTTAAGAGTGTCATCCCA